AAGATGCAAATACCACATTCCATCGGAACCTATAACATCAGTTAATTTGAAAAAAACATGAGATACTTTTAACAGCATATAAATGAAAATGACACTTTATAAATTTCGTGCGTTTGAAGCGCATTTCCGGATTTTCCTTCATTAGGAACGCATATAAATGAGTATTATACATTGTGTCACTGATTTGATTTGGTTTGATATATTATTTGATTCATTTTCATGACCAAATAAGGAGATGTGATGTGATAGCAAATGTATCCATAAAGACCAACGATCAAAAATTAGAACAATTACATGTCACCGTACGACCTTAAACAATGTAGCGTATAGACAGCTTAAACATGCCCCTGTATGACAAAACTCGAAAAAAAAAGAAAACCAACGGACTGATCAATACCCTTACGAACGAAAAACCAAAAACGACAGATAGTAACCAACGACAAGCTCTGTATTGCAGGTTCCTGACTTGGGTCAAACCCATAAAGAATTAGCGCAGTTTGATATGCTTGTGAGCGCTTAATACTCCGATTACCTGAGACAGTGGTGTAACAACACACGATGAGAACAAAGCTGTTAATGAAAAAGCTTGATTGATTAGATAACTTTTAAGCGCAAGCTCAGGTTAAAAAAGGACAAAAAGCACAAAGTACCGATCTAAGTGTACTCTCCAACTTATAAAATAGACAATGATCGTTCAGAGTAGAAAGACAATCAGCACACCTCCGATGTTTTTAAATGTGTATACTAACACTTATAGACTATACAATCATCCAAATCGAATACAGATGAAAAACAAACTGTTTACTATAGATTAAAAATGACTTTATCACCACTATCCTAATACCACTACCTATACTACCTTAATAGTATCCCTTACTAAGCTCATTTCCAGGAGACATAGAATTGCTCTTAAACATAAACCGTTTGCAAACAATATTTATTAATGATAAGGTATTCCAAAGTCTTAGGCTTCATGTGGCAAAGATGATATCGCATTGATTCAATTATAAAATAAAATAAATCACCATCAAACAATTTATTTTAAGAAACATATCATGCTTTTAATGCAAGGATTATTTTATGAATATCAAACACATGATGCGCAAATTTTTGTCCAGAAATATGAGCGGCTGGCTCAAACAAGCAACTTTAATGTACATGACCTTTCATTTGTATCAATCATTAAAGGATCAGTACTTTTATTGTATATACGGCATGTTGTTTATATAAAGATTCTACTTCTTCGTCGTATGTTTTGAGGTAATTCTCCACATGAGACATTGCCGATCGTTTTAAATATTTAACATTAACCTGTCAAGAATAGAGAAATATTGTATTACATGAGATTCGGTGGTAGATCTTTCGTGTTCAATGATATGAAAAAACAATGTGATCTTTCCAAATGACGGCATTCTGCATTGGCGTTTAAATCAAAATTTGATCAATAAAAAACTGAGATCAAACGAACCACAACTTAATTGTAAAAAAAATAATCGGGAAAATATAAATCTGCTAAGAATTAGAGAAACATATTTTTATATAAGTGTGTGTGATATTGATTAAATCAAACCCTTTCATAATTGTAATGAAAGATTACTATTTCTGAATTCTTTGAAAAATATTTTATTTTGAAAAGACGGAACCATTAATAACATTTTAAGATATACTTAAATGGGGTAGTGATGCACTTGTCACATAAAGAGCAACTCATGATTACATGAAAAGTCGTACAGAATTACACAAAAATACTTTTAAATTAGTTAAGTTAAATTATAGAATACATTGTAAGTTTGTTGTAATATATAATATTTAAATTTGTATGCACAACTGTATCAAAATATGCTGGTTATGTAGATATTGTTTTTTTTATATATTTTCCATCGGCTGTATTTTGACACCAATTAAGAAATAATTAAATAGATTTTGATAATGATATGATATGGTCATGTTATTACTGGCGACCTTGGCATCGTTACCAATGAACAACTAAGAGAGTTGTTAGCCAAGGGACCAAAATATAGAATTCCCCAGCCCATCAACTGGAAAAAGAACTTTAGGTTAGTGATGGATGAAGTTGAGGACTATACAAGAAAATGGGTAAAGCGCGAACCAGACGAACCAGAACTGGACACTTTGTCTGAATGGATCAAAGCTATTCGATCATGCATTCAGAAGCACATTCAGAAACTACGATGTACTATGAGCACAAGAGTTACTAACCCTTTCAAGAATCTGGAGGTTGTGGATGCTTTATCCTCTTTGCATGACAAATATGTCGTTTTTCCAGCAGATAAAGCCTCCAATAATATTGTCTTCATATGTAAAAACCATTATTTGCAATGTCTCACAACAGAGCTTGGAATAAATAGAACGACTGGTAATCTTGCATATTCTTTCACATCATTTAACAAGAATGAAATTTTACAAAATCACAAATCTGTCCTTCTTTCTTTTGGTATCAACATCAAAGAAAACGAAGAACAATTTACCGTCATTATACTGGATACCAAAACTTCACAAAACTCCATATACAGAACGATACATAGCTGGGTCATCAAAATGTTCGACTAAACATCTTTCTAAAGTACTGACTACTATTCTTTCTACGGTTAAAGATGGGCTTTAAAGATATTGTGTTGAGATATATTCTACCAGTGGTATTAACCAGATGTGGATTCTCAAAAATTCGAAAGATCTACTGGCTTAATTTTCGATCACGATCTTTGCAATTTTGCAGCAACACTAAGACTTTTGACACTACTTTTTTCTACGCTTTACACTACTATTCCCCATGCTCAGTTGAAAGATCGACTTCACCATCTCATTAAACAGAGTTGTTTCTATAAAAATGGGAATCGTAGATACAAATTTCTTGTTTTGGGTTACAATAATTCATATTTTGTGAAGAACCAAACTGTATCTACCAGAAAATATACTGAAGATGATATTATCAAAATGCTGGACTTTTTGATCGAAAATTTATTTGTTGAGTATGGAGGATTGATATTTCAACAGACAGTCGGTATTCCAATGGGTACTAATTGTGCACCCCTACTGGCCGATTTGTTTTTGTACTCGCATGAAGCAGAATTCATTCAAAACCTTATAAAAGACAAAAAGAAAAAGCACCTTTCGAAATTCTTTAATTTTACTTTCAGATATATTGATGATGTCCTATCATTGAATAACCCATATTTCAGCCAATACTTACATCTCATATATCCGAGTGAACTTGAAATTAAGGATACTACTGATACTAGAAGGACTGCTTCATACCTTGATCTTTTCCTCAATATTTACACAGATGGACGACTTCACACGAAAATCTATGATAAACGGGACGATTTCATCTTCCCAATTATCAATTTCCCATTTCTCAGCAGTAACATACCCGCTGCCCCTTCGTATGGTGTTTACATATCTCAGTTGATACGTTATGCTCGTGCATGTTTACACTATACGGAATTCATATACAGGAGTGTGCTCCTAACGCAGAAACTGCTCCAACAAAGTTATGAGGAGGACAGATTAAAAATGACACTCCGTAAATTTTATGGACACCATCACGAATTGGTTGATTCATACGATGTGTCTTTGTCCAAACTGACAAAGAACATTTTTACTACGTGTTAGATTGTGGTTTGCCATTACGTCGTCTGATCTTTTAAGTACCGAACGTGACTTATTCCCGATTGTGACTGTTTTGCTGAGTGTGAATTCGCATTGCTATAAGACGTGTCACAGTATTTTTCTAACCAAAATCCATGTATTTAGTTTTGATGCTATATTTGTTATTCTCATCGGATTTTGTCAAATGTCTTATCGTTTGTAGTTGTAAATCTTATTTTTTCTGTTATATTCGTGTGTTACGGTAAAGATAGTTAATCACCCAGTTCATTTATAAGATTTTAGTTTGGGTCAGCTAAATTTATATGATGTATTTGGTTTATAGTTTGATTTAGAAGAAATACCGACATAGCTTGATAATACAACTAATTATCTAATTACTACTACAATTGTATATTAATAAGTATTGTTATTTTCATTGTTATTAATACATGTTATATCAGTATTACAAACCTAATCTTGAACTCTATCCTATTTTTTGGAAATTTATAGAAATGTATATGTGACGTCACATTGTGCGTCGGTCTCTTCGGCTAACATATAATACGTTGTTCGGTTGTGCCTTTTTTATGTGCTGATTTATGTTGTTTTACGTATTCGTTTTTATTCTGTAGTTAGTCACCACTTCGGTGTTAACATGTATATCTACTATAAAGTCGTTTTTTATAAATTTACTGTTTGCAAAAGTATGAATTATTCTAAATACTAAGGATTTTCGTATCCCAGGTATATAACCTTAGCCGTATTTGGCAAAACTTTTTAGAACTTTTGGTTCTCAATGCTCTTCAACTTTGTACTTGTTTTGGCTTTCGAACTTTTTGATCTGAGCGTCACTGATGGGTCTTATGTAGACGAAACGCGCGTCTGGCGTATTAAATTATAAGCCTGGTACCTTTTGATAGCTATTATTTGTGTGTGTTTCTGTCCTGTATGTTCTCCCATTTATTTGTATTGTAGTCCTGTAATGTAATCTTGTCATTTTAATATTATATTTAACATTGCCATAAAAGCGGGAGGTTTGGCTAGCCACAAAACCAGGTTCAACCCATTATTTTTCGTAAAATGTCCTGTACCAAGTCAGGAAAATGGCCATTGTTATATTATAGTTCGTTTCTGTGTGTGTTGCATTTTAGTGTTGTGTTTCTGTTGTGTCGTTGTTCTCCTCTTATATTTGATGTGTTTCCCTGAGTTTTAATTTGTAACCCGGATTTGTTTTCTTCTCAATCGATTTATGAATTTCGAATAGCGGTATACTACTGTTGCCTTTATTTACGGGATTTTGTTTTCTGTTTTTTCTCTATTTATGCTTTTCTTTTTAAGTCATTTGTTTTTTTCAAAAAATTGTAAATGGAATGAAAATGAATTAGCTAAAATAATTGATTAAAATATTAATAAGAAATTATTTTGTTTTTCATAAAAAATATCAATCTAGCCACCACTGTGTTTTGTAGGAGTTGCTGGAGTACACAATTCTGCTGTCTTGACGGATAATGAGCAGTAACTTCCAGTTTTTGGTTTCGTCACTTCTGGTTGGGCACATCTTATTGGAACTTTGGATTCTGCCATCATTTTAATATTGCAAAGGTTCATTTGTTTTGATGCAACGAAATACTCTGCTCTTTGTTTGCTGACATATTTAGATGTGCACTCGTGAACTCTAAGCTGACGAAGTTTACGTTCCGGTCGATGAATATTATTAGTCATATCATCATCATACCTCATTTGTCTGAACATTGGCTTGACAAATTTAATTACCCCCTGGATTTGATTGTTATGCTCCTCCACCAGTGGTTTTATTTGCGATAGTGATAAATTAAAATTTCCTCCAATCAGCACTGCTACCCCTGAAAGAAATGCCAGGTATTGCGCAAGCCATAAGTTTTGTCGAGCAAATTGATATAGATCCTTCTGAGAATTCGTTTGACGTGTAAGTTCCCAGTGCTAACTAATGCAATGAAATTGCTTGACAACATGTGAAGTTGGTTGTGTTGACAGGATATCCATCAATGGGTACATCAATTTGTCCTTATCTATACCAGGAACCTCAAAGTATGGTATTCGGCCATACCAATGTGGCGTTGGTAACTGCAATCTTTTAGTATCATACAGAAGCACAGTGTCCAAGTTGAAAGTCACTTTTGCCGGGCCATAATCTTCAAGTGCTAATGAGGTCATATCTAGATTGTCTCCTGGGAGAAACAAAATATCGGGCTCATTATGCCAGATTACATCATCCAAAAACGATCTCCGGTCCGATTGAATCTGCTTTCCATTACTCCCAAATAGATTCAAGCCAACGATTTTAAGTCTGTCTGTACTTTTTCCCATTTTGCCTGTTTGTAAAGGAGTTTGAATTCAATTATGAAATAGTTGTTAATAAATATTGGTCCTAAATTTATATTTCTTGAAATGGAACTGTAATAAACTAAATTAAGCTTCGCCTCTCTCTAACTAAAACAAACACAGAACATTTACCAATATTCAACTTTGATACCTTGATTTTACAATTCCTAACCGCGAGTGCCTACAGTTGCCTATAATGACCCTTGTTATATTCTTAGAAGAAAATACCGGTAAATTGTATGTGTAATACAATGAATGGCAATCGTTCTGCATCAGCCATTTGTGATGATATCGATATCAGTCGCGATTAAAAAGGCTTTATCACACCACTTAACTGTATGACATCACGTCATTGATATTAGTCTAACTTGCAAAGGCTTTATCAGACCCTTTATCTTTATATTACGTTATGGCAGGTGAAAAACATCTACTTGAGGTATATAATAAAATGTATATGATATGGCTTTTATAATATATCACACCGTATCAATCCCCAATCAATAAAATCCATCGAGTAGAGCTCTTGGGATTATGTTGGTGTCTTGGGTTGATACGGGTGCAATATAGAAAAAGCCATATTATATTCGTTATTAATCATATTCCTATAGCAAAATAAATGTTTTGGAATTTCGTGTCCTCAATGCTCTTCAACTGCGTACTTAATTTGTTTTTTTTTTTAACTTTTTTATTCGAGCCCCACTGATGTGTCTTTTGTAGACGAAACGCGCGTCTGGTGTATACAAAAGTATTCCTGGTATCTATGATGAGTTTATTTATGATAAAGATAGTGTAACTCTTGCCTTGCGACCCATTGACTTGTAGTACATACAAGACAGCTTTTTTTGTTCGCTTGTATATTACGCATATGAGTCATCTTTCAGCTGAAACATACGAGTAGATCCGTATTTTTGTACAAACAGAGTCTTCCAAAATATCACAATAAAATAAACAAATATTATAGCCTGACTGTAAATGCTACCATTCCATCATCGGCAATGATATCTTTCTTTTTAGAATTGTGATGTCCATGAACACGTTCGTGAATGGTTTTATTAAACAGATTTTCAGAAAATGTAATCCATTTCTAAAAATAAATATGTAGGTCGATTAATAAGCTTCAGTCAAGAGATAATTTCTTTTGTATGATATGAAGGAGATTGTTAAAACGTAATGGTAGGGAAGCTTTGTTTTATATATTTATTAGTTTTGGTTCTCTAATAATATTTCATTTATATAGTTTCACACTTTGACACTGTTATCTAAGGACATATATCACTTACCTTCTATATATCTTTTATTTGTCCTTAAGTTCGGTCCGTTGAGATGTAAATAAAAATAGTCCTGAAATAAAAATAATGTTTAAAATTGAAATTGACTCCTTAAAAATAATGTCTCTTTACAATTTTGTAATATAACTAAGATGGAAAAATATCACGTTATTGTCTAATATTATCACGTAATAGTATTGTATAATGAAATAAGATGCCTCTTAAAGAAAATGTGTCATGATTTAAAAAAAAATCGATGGAAACTTCTATGCAAACAGTTAAGCTATTATTTTTCAAAATTCATTAAAAACATTAATGTATTATAGTTCGGGAATGATAAAGCATTAATATGACTTGTTGTGTTGTAGCTTATGAGTAAATAGGTGATCTTTTATTGATATTATTAATAAAAGAATTATGTATTAGATAATGGACATAAACATGACTAGTAGACCGAAATGATCTTTATATCTTTACTATTATGATTTGTTTGAAAACGCAAATAGATTAAAATTGAATTTTACATATAATAATGTATGAACATTATATTTTGACTGACAATACTTCATACACATTGTATTCCTTTTACATTATTAATACTCATTTTTATTTACTTTTTACGTTTTATCATATGGTAAGATTGAGAAAAAAATATTTTGTTCAATAATATATGCCTATGATTTTAACTTAACTGATTATTTCTACCTTTTTTGGTTACTTGCCAATGTTTTTTTTGAGGTATTTTTTTAATAGCTAGCATTCCTCTACTTAAATCCACCTTCTATTGCCATTGCTTATTTGTATAAAACAGAAGTTTCAATACTTTGCAGATTTTTAAAATGAAATTTTTCAATTCTCTGATAATTGTTTTTAAAGAACACTTGACAGTTTCAACTAACTTAAGTCCTTTGAATGCTTTACCGTTTAAAAAATAGTTCTTAATTATCCAATATTATTTTGAAAAATTTGCAATGTGTAAACAAACTGCGCAGAAATATCTGTCATTTTAAATCTGTTTATACACATATCAAGACGTGTTTCGATTACAGAAGATTTAAAATAAAGGTTACTTTTAACTGTTAAATTTTTTTCACATTAGTATGTTTAACGTTTATATTGAATTTTTTAACTTCGTGTAATCAGACACTATTTTATTTCGACGACAAAGGTTTGTAAAATATACCAATATATATATATATATATATATATATATATGTTGATGCATGTGTCAATCAGTCATATCAACCAAATTAGTATCGGTTTCAAATGGAATATAAAAAAAAAAATTACAAACAACTAAAAAATGTACATTTTGTATTTCGAAAAATAATTGCTGAAATGTGTTGATGCAAATAAAATGTAAAAATAGAGCACAACACAATTTACACTTTGGATTTACATTGTATGCATTTATTGATTTGTAACGTATAAACAAGACGGTTTAGTAAATAAAGAAAATATTGCAGTAGATAAAAAAAATATATACTTCTTGACATGCAATAAAATACATTCAAGCATTCATCTATTTCTTTGTCTGTTAACATTTTTTTTTATAAAATCAGTATTTACAGTAGAGGGGGTCGTGCTTTTTTTTTCTAATGGAATGATTTTTATACAACTTCTTGCATTGTGCATGTAGCATGTGTAGTGTTAAAACAATGTTGAAAATATAATAAACATTAGTTATATTTAATATATAAGTTCGGAGATTAATCTATCGAATAAAATTGAAACCCTTACCTGTATAAATAGTATGTAAGCGTATAGAATGTAGCGATGTCTATAAGAAATATTCTACGCAGAAAATGATTAAAACTTACAGCCTAGAAAAGTTCCAACTATAAATATCATCTGATCACCAAGCTTAAAATAAGTACTGGCTTTTTTGGGTATACTTAAATAGATTAAGATATAATAGAATGTTTTAAATACGGAAACACATAAAATTTAAAGAAAAGATATTTGGTGTATAGAAAATATATAGACAAATCTGAAAATATACATTTTGGGATAATTTTTGCATATTCGCCAATATAAAATAGTCATGAATTCAAACTTGTACGTCACTCACGTGCGACCTATTGCGTATAGGTTTTGATCAAAATATATATGAGCAATAGCTCAATCCAAAAAGATATTTTACACATTTTCATAACATTTGACACGAAATATCTTTTTAGGTAAAGTTGTTGCTCATATCTCATGTATCTAAATATTAGTGACAACTTGTCTAAATGAAGATATTTGGGTAGTTTTTTGCATGTTTTGCTGTAAGTATGAAACCCTAATGCCAATCTGTAAGACAATTTCAATAATATAATACAGATTTTTACAGACAAATGTCTTATAAACATCTGACGGATGCTATTTGGTATATCTATGATAGTTTTTGACTTTCTAACTCAAAGGACTAAAATGAGTTTCCTTGCAAAGTATCGTTTGCGAGTCTTAATAAGACAGAAAAGGAGGAGCACACTCCGTTCAAAGATAACTTGTCAGAGTTTATTCCAATTATAATTGGAATATTCACTTTTTATATGTTTATTAATACATGTAAAAAAATACACTTCTAACAAAAGACTGTTAAAATTATATGTTATTTCAAGACACATTGAAGTACCGCATTCATTTTCTAGTCTTTTCGGAGTTAAAAGGTTTAATTGAGGTTATGGTTTTTCATTATTCTATTTCACCTGGAATAAAAACGCCAGGTAAGCTATTACGATCACTTGGCGTCCGTCGTCGTACGTCGGTCTTTCGCCCGTCTGTCTGTCTTCGTAAACTTTTCAAAAAACAGTATCTCTGAAACTACTGGGATTAATTAATAAATGTTACTAGTTTACTATAATGTTCTTATGGGGATTTAGTTTAAAACTTTATACGGGGATTTGATCCACCAACAAACATGGTTGCTGTTGCTTAAAAAACCATAGCGAGTAAATTGCAGTTTTTACTAATACGTCAAGAAAATAAAGCAGTCAGAGCATGCTGATATAGGTAGAAATGATGAACAGGTCTAGGTCTATCTCACACATTTTAGAGTTGTTGCTCCTGAAATGTCAATTGATAGGAAGTGTTGCAGTTTTTGGCTTTAATCTCAAAATTAGCGCGGTTATATCAAAACTGAGAGTGTCAAAATGATCGGAAGGTCGAAGTCTTTCTCTTATAGAATAGCAAAAAATTCAAACAAACATTGTTTTACTTTTTGCACCTGAAGAGTAAATTGTTAGCTAATTTCAAAGTTCTCTGGCTTGTATCTCAATCTGAAGAAGTAAGATGACATATTGACTGAGTGAAAATTATCAGGTCAGAGTTTATCAATTATGGAAAAATCAGACAATCAATTTAACAGTTATTGCTCTTTTTGAGCACCTTCCAAGATTGTTTTTATTGTTTTCGTTTTGAGGGTAAATAAAGAAAAGCGCAACGGACGCACAAATTTTATACATTACTATTTTAATAAACAGCAGTAACATTAAGAACTACAAATAAGTCAACATGGCCAAAATCGTAAATTGATTCTTTATAGGAGTTATTGCCCTTGAAAGACGATATTGACCTTTTTTATGCTGAAATCATGATAACTAGAGAGAAATTGTGAAAAGCAAAACTTTGCAGCAAATTTAGATCTGAAATAAGTAGGACACTGCCTAAACCGTTAATTGATCCTTAATAGGAGTTATTGCCTTTGAAAGACAATATCTATCAACTTTTTTTTGCAGATACTTAAATAGACACAAACAGAAACTGTAAATAGAAAAGTTCAAGTTATTACATGACTTATTTCTGACATTAGTGTGTCCTTCTCATAATAAATACATATACATTTCTCAAGTAATATTCAAAATATCGAACATTTAAAATTTTTGACAGCTTTCTTTCAATATGGTAAAAAAACACTATTATATATACGCAAATGAAACCGAAACATAACAGGAACAAGGAAAGACACATATCACATTTTATATAATAATCCCCTTCGGGAATACCATGAAAAATATTACAATTTACAAAATTACTAAAATAACGAAAACTGTAAGTTGACGTGATACAAGTACGGCTAAATATATTTAATGTTTTGTTACTCATAGATAAGATACGTTTCACATTAGTCAATATAGTTCGTACTTTGTAACTTTGTAGATAATAATTCTAGATTCAACACCTAAATGAAATGAGGTATAACATTGTGCAAAGTAACGTTGGGCTCTGATCTAAACATGATACTCTCCGATCTATTGATAAATTTTAAATTAACTATTGGGAGAAGCGAAATTTTATTTCTGCACGATATGCAGTGATATATTTTTTTTTTATAATACAAAATAAGGAGATGTCGTTTGATTTTCAGTGATACAACTATCAACCAGAGACAATAGGACGAGATTGTTATCAATTATTGGTCCCCGTACGGCATTCAACAATGAACAAAATCCACACAATAAAGTAAGCCCTAACAGCCTCCTGCGTGAAAAGATGTGAAATAATTCAAAAGAGAAAAACCAACGACGTGATGTATGCTGAAAACAATAAACAAAGAAAACCAAAAAGCAATCAAAGACAACCACTAAATTAAAAGCTCCTCACTCTTTGTACAGGCATGAAAAAAAAACATCTTTCCATTGTAGTTTGAAAAAATAACACAATTAATCCTCTTTCGAACAAAAACTAAATATAACAAGCGGTCACCAATTACTAGCAGAGATAGGTGAAAGTTTTCAAAAATAAAAAAAAAAGTTCGTTATTAAAAGCTATTAATAAATCCAAAACGTGTGTATCAAAAATTGAAAAGGTGAATTAAAAGCCCTTGTTCCTCTCCAAACCCAGCCGTTTACTACACTAGTAAATCAATTTTAGACTCAGACGATCATTTTGATTGGACAGTCATATAAAAAAAATCTGAAGGAACTATTAAGTCTTTTTCAGTCTTTATAGTCAATTGCGCATTTTTCCTGTGAATAATATATACAATTAGCCTGTGGTTTTGTGTAGAGTTCTCTTATATAAATATTTTCGTGTTTTTGTCTGTAACTTTGCATTCTTTTTAACTTGATTCTGTAAAATAATAAGATTGCTAATAATGCACCTCTCAATAAAATACAGAACAAAGGACACAGATCTGAACGAAACAAGTGGTCATAATGCTTTTAACAGTGAGCAAGCCCGAGTCATATTGTAAGCTATAAAAGGTCCTGGGATGACAAAATGGGAAATAATGCAACCTGCCCCCAACCTGGAACAGTGGAGTACCACAACATATGAATATTCTCTTTTGTGGTACGATTACGATTGTAGCAATTTAAATGCAGTATATTAAACCGATATGTATTGATCATTTACTGGGGCTTATATTGGAAACATTCATTTTTATATTTCCAGAATCGTATATGAAAGGTTACACAATACCACATGGTAGTTGCTTCATTTTATAAAATAATGCTGGGTGGAACTTAGGTTATTGAACTTTGATGAAAGGCAATTGGAATATTCTAAAAAAAATTCTACTATTTTGAACATTTTCTTAAATATTATTGACTTTCATTGTTTATTAAAGAGATGTATGTACATTAGACGAATAAGTGGCAGCTTTACATTATATCAAATTTACATCAACAAAATGATCCCATTTGTATATTTGAAAGAACATTATTACATAACTTGATAACGTGTGTTACGCATGTAAAATCATTTTGTATATCACCTACTTAGGCCATAGGCAGATATTTTGATCAATTTATGAAAAATTGGAAATGAAAGTAGAATTGACGAGTAAAGTTTTGTATATTCAAACATACATTGTATCATATAGTGTGTTTTCTTGTTTAGATTTTATTGTCCATAACTTTTGTTTTCATACGAAAACATACCAAATTTCCTTATCTTCTAAGTAAGTGTTTTACATGTGCGGTGTAATTATTTTTCCAACTAGTACTTTGTTCAAAATTTATAACACAAAATTAAACAGTATTGTTTTATTGGCAAAAAAGGTACCCAGATTAACAGAGTAATTACATGCTGTCGATTGAACACAAACAGGCCGCTTCATAATCATATTAAAATTCCAAATAATACATCAATATGCTGTAGGGGGTAAGTTTAAGTTCTGAATAAGAAAATTTAAGACACAATATTCATGTCTGTGTGTCTAGTAGCAGTTTTTTCCGACATAATTCACATCTACAGCATGAACTCATTTGTCATATTTCAGTAGAGAAACTAGAATAATACATATAGGAAAATGAAACGGACAGTTTTAACATTTTAATTTTATTAATTATTTCGGAGAGTTGTTCCCCATTTTTTTTAACAAACTATATACCCTAACTCATAAGAAAACTGAATCAAACAACGACATTTATGATAATGTTATAAATAATAATAGAAAAGTGTGTGCTCTTGACTTTAAATGTTAAGCAAAACTAAGTTAACCACCATTGTGTCTGGGTGGCCTTGCTGGAATGCACATTTCTGTCTTCGTTGGCAAAGGACAGTAACTCTGATTAGCTGGCTTGGTTAATGTTAGTGTGGTACATCTTCCTGGAAGTGTGGATGCAGTCATCATTTCAGTTTTACATAACTGCATTTCTTTTGATGCAACGAAGTAGTCCGTTTCTTGATTGATACCTGCTACAGACTTACACTGGTGAAGCTTAAGTTGTCGGAGCCGACGTCCTGGCCGATGTACATTATCTGTCATGTCATCCAAAAAGCCCATTTCTCTGAAGAAAGGTTTAACATTATCAATTGAATTTTGAACTTTTTGATTATGTTCATCTACGAGTTGTTGTATCTGTGGACGTTTTAAATTAAAATCGCCTCCTATCAAAATCTCTACTCCATGACTCCATCCAAGATATTGTGCCAACCATAAATAGCAGGAGGCAAACGTATACAGTTCCTGGGATGTTGTTTGCGTAAGCTCCCAATGCCAACTGATACAATGGAACTGCTTGACAATATGTTGAGTGGGTTTAGGAGCCAAGATGTTGACTAAGGGATACATCAATTTGCCCTGTTCGATGCCAGGAACCACTAACGATGGTATCAGATTATACCAGTTTTCGGTTTGCAATTGCAATCTCTTCGTATCGTACAAAAGTACAGTCTCGTTATTGTGAACGACTTGTGCTTGACGATAGTCCGTTAACACTGGTGATGACATATCAGGCTCGTCTCCCGGCAAAAATAGTATGTCGGGTTGATTTTGTCCGACTACATCGTTTAGATAAGACTTTCGATAATCCTGAAACTCCCTGCCCTTTCTTCCAGAAGCGTTCATGCTAATGATGCTTAACCTGTCTGTGTCTCTCCCCATGGTATATTTCTGTAAGGTAAGTATAGTAAAATTATTAATTCAGTTACGGTCTTTGTCAAATCTTATTTCTCACGCTATCAACATTGAGTAAACTCATGTTCATGAATCGCATTTAAATATTTCTTCACAGGTCGAGATTAGAAATATACACACAAAACAAATGAGTAGAAATTTTGAAAAGTATTAGAAGAAACATGTGATAAGTTAGGTAATTAATATATATCGCTTTAATATATTCTTAAAACATAAGGCTAAACTTTGCTTTCAAACAATAAAAGTTCTTCATTTAAGAAAAACGAATCTATCAACATCTCACAGTTTCACTATGTAATTGTGTTTAAGCTAGGGTTTGGTTCTCCAAACTTTGGTCATGTGCTTTCATGATAAAGATCTTATCAGGGAAACAATATCATTTTATTTTACTTCCACTCGGTTGGCACCGCTGTCGTTAATATTAGTCATCGCGGATATCATTCACTCTAAAGCAGTATTGACATTACATTTCTTAAATTCCTAAATATGATAATCAATATATTTTTAGCGCTCAACACAAGTTCAAAACTGTATGATTTTTACTTTTAAGATTTGAAACAATAAGGCTTTTATTATTAAACATACAATGTGTTATTTATTTTTTGAAATCTACTTACTTACTGTCTGCTCCTCTTCGTCTTATTCTATTTTTTTCCTAATTTGAAATTCACCCTTTGCTGCGTTTAGCCTGCAAAAAATTTGTTGTCATAAAACACCATGACTAAAATGTACCAATATCTTAAAATGGTGCAAAATAATTACTGTTGTCACTTTTCTAGTGTTTAATAGATGTTTTCTATGTTTGTGGTGTGATATGATTGGTTAATACTTTTTAAAAATAGATCTTAGCATATAATGAACCATTTTATCATTATTCATTACGACAGCAACATGCGCAGTAGCATGATTCAAAATGCATTTATTGGGTAAATCTATTTTGGTCTCTTATGTCATCAGCCCAATAGTCAGCACTTCTGTGTTGACATGAATTATCATTGATATGGTCATAATATAGATTAAATGTTTACCAAACTATGATTTTTTCGAAAAACTAAGGATTTTCTACCTAAACTGTATTTGGCAAAATCTTTCAGGATTTTGGGTCCTCAATGCTCTTCAAATTCGTACTTTATTCTGTCTTTTTAACTCTTTTGGTTTGAGCGTCACTAATGATTCTATAGTAGGCGAAACGCGCGTCTGGCGTAGAAAATTTGAATCCTGGTATCTAGGATGAGTTGATATTATTGGCAAGGCGAGACGTATTTTACACTTTATAGTTTCTACGTTTTACATTCCTTTCTTTGTGATGTTTATATATATATATGTAAATATATAATTAGGTATGGGGGTTCCATATGAAGGTGAATCTAGAAACACGCTTCATACGCACGAAAGTTATGAAGAGGTATTTGTTTTCACTAGCACTGGGTCGATACCTCTGCTGGTAAGCATGGACTGTTATTCCTCGAGGGTTTATCAGCTTAGTAATGATTTATAATATCCACTTCTATAACTCTATTTTTACAAAAAAGGGTTCCAACTGCCTCGTGCAAAGTTGATCTTAATTCATTTGGTAATTCTTTAAGGTCCCTTTTGTATATTATGTCTGTTATTAATATTTACACAGTTAAGCTGCTGGTCCCAATTTTATTTTCGTGTTAACCAATTGTGTCTGTTTTGGTTGCTTATCACATTTGGTCAATGTAACGGAACTGTAAACAACTGTAATACAAAGTGGCAGATTTAACTACCTTAAACAAAGGTTTAACCCACCATTTTCAATGGAAAATGTCTTTACCAAGGCAGGAACATGGCAGCTGTGTTCCATTCGTTCCGTTGGTTGATATAGTTGCTTGAATTTGTTAGGTTTTATTGACTTCCCCTTTTTGATTTTACCATGTAGTTTGATATTTTTGTTAATATTTTTTGTTCATATAGCTCCTAACGTTTCTGAGTAGTTTACATTACTTGATTTCAACTGTTCGGGTTTGAGCGTTCCTTATGAAGGTATAGCTAGAAAAACGCTTCGGTCACACGAAAATTATAATTATTTTTTTGATTCTATACATTTCGATGATTAAATAATTAATCCCGTTACAATATCTATCTTTCCCTGTATAATTATTTCAGACATCATTTGCATTATTATGTAACGTTCGGTGGTGTTATACAATCCATATCTATATTTATAGCCTTACTATTTTCTATTTATGGTCAATCGAATTCTTTTCCGAGAAATGTTTATACGCATTGTGTAAATATATATAAATGGTAAGTATTTACTTCAATAGTATTTGTTTCTATTAAAATATTTCAGCATCAAGAAATTGAAAGAAACAATACATTAAACTGCCTCAAAATGTGTTTATTTTCCAAGATCAGTAGTGAAATAAGGTGTTTTGAATAATTTTGAAATATCAATTTTGCTTTACCTTAGCTTAATATGCAATGATTATAACAAATTTGAAACAATTACCTGCAGTTCGTCTGCTGACCAAATGATAACTTTGACATGTTTGAAGTAAAATTTTCAGACAAAAACTTATTTCGATCAAAAGCCTAAAATAGATTTTGGAAATCCGCATGAATTATACAGAAATAGTTTTTAAGATAATGAAAGGCCAAACTTCCAATAAATGATCCTGTTATCATGGTTATACATATTGATAGTTTTCAGATAAGATTAGTACTGATATTAAGATAGTGCTAATCGTATAAAAGGTAAACAAATGCGTTAATGATATTACGTGCAAACTCTACAAGATAATAACATATTAGATAATACCCAAGTTAGAAAGTTTCTAAATGTATTGAAAACTGCACGTGTTAAAGTTAAAGATACGTTATTCACCTTTTTGTGCAATAAGATAACACTCAAAGGTGTGTATTAAAAAAATCTGTTATTACGCAATTGCTAAAAATCCCCCTATATTTGAAATCTGCTTTAGTCATATTTTACCTATACGACTTCTGATAAAATTTTCCCTATGAAAACAAATAATCTCTCCCTAATCATAACTAATATTCAAACTATTTACTTCTGGTGGTGTTTTTATTTTTACCGCTTGGTATCTTCTTAAATTTTGACTCAATAATAATATTTTGAAAAGATAAAACAATATCTGTTATGCAGATTTCCATTCATTTGAATAAGTGAAAGATACCTTCAAAGTTCATTTAGCATTCAAGGCAATTGAATTTCATCAATATTTTGTAGTAAGCAAAATAAAACATAAGACATGTTTTATAGATAAACATTATAGTCATGATAGTTTATGTTATTTATGAATATGGCTTCACGTATGCTGTGTCGAAAGAATAACTTGATTTTAACACATTGTTATTGTCATGTTGCTCATATATGTGTCAAAAATGGCGGCAGATATATCAAATGTGTGTCTGCTGGATGTATTGATTTTCAAGAACTCCTTCTGACAATAGTAAAAACAAAAGTTAAATAATGAGTTTACGAAAATAATCTTGATATGACATAACCATCCTAAATACAAATACAAATTATATTCTAATATATGCCAGTTGATTATTTCAAAGCTATTGGTGATGCATATACGATTTCAAAATTGAGATTGATTTTAGATTATTTAGAATATAATGGTATTAGGCAATTGTGGTTGACAGCTAGAGGCCACAATTACCTGGGTAGGTGAAGCTTAGTAGACGAAACTTCAAGATAGGTCAATAAAAGTAATCATTCTTACTTCAATCTCCCTGCAATGATACCTGGATGTCAAATGAAACACCAATGAGACTAAAAGAAGGCACAGGATCAACACCGCATGCCTATGAAGTCTAAATTTCGTTTGTATACAGTATATCACAGCAAATAAAAAGAAATCTTACAAAAACAAATTTTATAATATTATGGCAGTTTATCTTTAAGGATCAAGTCATGTAAATATGTAAGGAGAAGTCCATACAAACAGGACTACATTTATCATTCAAAGCTATTGGTGATGCATATACGATTTCAAAATTGAGATTGATTTTAGATTATTTAGAATATAATGGTATTAGGCAATTGTGGTTGACAGCTAGAGGCCACAATTACCTGGGTAGGTGAAGCTTAGTAGACGAAACTTCAAGATAGGTCAATAAAAGTAATCATTCTTACTTTAATCTCCCTGCAATGATACCTGGATGTCAAATGAAACACCAATGAAACTAAAAGAAGGCACAGGATCAACACCGCATGCCTATGAAGTCTCAATTTCGTTTGTATACAGTATATCACAGCAAATAAAAAGAAATCTTACAAAAACAAATTTTATAATATTATGGCAGTTTATCTTTATGGATCAAGTCATGTAAATATGTAAGGAGAAGTCCATACAAACAGGACTACATTTATCATTTAAAAAGAAAATGTTATCCGTATTGTCTCTTGATTTTTTTCCATCTTTTTGTAAAAATATATTTACATATCTATGCTAAATCTTAGCAACATTGCCTTCTAAAAATGTATGTGAAGTTAGCCGTCAGATTATAATTTCAAACTTCCACTGACAGAAAAAACGTTTTTCAGAATTTCTTTATAAGAGTATTCACTAATTACTTAATATTATTTGCCAACGTTCTGTATAAGAGTAATACGACAGGTTTCACCAGTGAAGCAGAATCTGTTTACCTTTCCTGAGCATTTGATAATACCCACAGTGTTTGGTGGGATTCGTGTTTTTACACTTTAGTTTTCTATGTAGCGTTTTGTGAACGTGTTTTTCTTTTCGTGGTCTTTGTTAGTTTTTACAATGCAATTCTATATATAATTTCCCTATCTAAGGGACATAAATCCTGCCAAAAACAATTAAGCAGTGCTAATTTTCAAACTCATCCGAAACATTGCTGATATAAACCTTTGATGTTTATTTCTTAAATATCTGGCAATAATTCTACACCCGAGTTCGATTACAATGTAATTTCATATAGAATTGACATTTCTTAGCGTCATACTCCTGTAAATATAATTGATTAGCGGTGATTTTCAAAATCGTCCGACACATAATTGATACAAACCTTTGATATAAACGTCATAGATAGCTGGCAAGAATTGTAAACTGTAGAGCGCTTACAATGCAATTTTCTATGGAATTTACATTTTAAGGGACAATACAAAAAATGATCAGCGCTGATTTCCGGACTTTTCATAGAAACTGCTGATGTAAACCTTCGATAATCATTTCATGACAATTCCCAAAATGTAGTGATATGAAACTGATTTTCTAACCGATACATTTGCTGATATAAACCCTTGATTAAGACTTCTGGCCAAATATGACATTGAATTTATAATTGAACATAAAATATCAAGTGAGTCATCATTCAGTTCCTAATCAATCTCATTAGTCTTAATGCTAGGTAAAACACATCTCTTCATAAAAGTATATGTAAATTATAAACCCCAAAGTCAGTACATTTCGGATATGTTGTCAAAATACAATGTTTTGTGCATTTTTGTACCGCAACCAACGATCAAACATGATCTGTATTAAAATACTTCAAATGATGATACAGAATCTCAGATACTAAACATTTTTTGCTTCGACCACAGTAAATTGCGCTGAAATGGTTATAAATTTAGAAACAAAATGCACCAAAACTGACGTCACAACATAAGTAATGCATAATTAAGAGGTCATTACTTCGTAATTTTAATTTAATGAACATAACATTGTGCATGTCGAACTTATTTCAAAACTTTTCTTTATAAAGGCATGCCTATAGTTTTGGACGCCCAAAACAATAATCAGTTCTCCGTATTGGACTAAGTTATTTAATCAAAATGTCCATCGTAATCAATTAATGGTTTGTTATTTTTTTCTTTTTTTTTTTTTGAAGGGTTAACTGTAATAAATTAGTTGACACATAGATCTTTTGAACTGTAATTAACGCAAATGTGTGATGCAAATAACAAGATACTTATATACTTTTACATATATATAAGGCGCATTTAAAAAAAGTTTTTACCCACATGGAATGACAATTCATACGAATCTGGGTTCATCCCAATTACCGATGGGCTTATATCGCAAAATTTTGGTTTTTAATGTAAAGTTTATAATGCTGTTAGGAAAATGCTTGTCTCTGATGGTATCATCAGCTCAAAAGTTAGTGTTTGGGCAATGATATAATTTATTACATAGCTTTTTTCAACATTCCGTTGATTAAATTAGGAACCAGTCAAAACTAATGTCTTTAAGATGCTACAGCTCTTTAAGTAATATTCTTTGTAAGTATTC